GAATGCAATGTCACGTTATGTTACATTTGTTTTTGGACTTGTGCATAAAATTGACCTCTTTGACTTACATAAACATAATCACATTATGTTGCAAGAGTTCTTGATTGACAAAATATCTGCAAGGCACTTTTGCCCGACGACTTCACTACTAACATGCTTGAGTAGGACAATTGCCAAACTAGGCCATAGTTTCAGACTTTACAATTTACAACTACTCCTCAATGCGATCCTAACTAACGTAATGACAATGATTTTAAAATTCAATTAAAGTAATGAAAATGATTTTAAAATTCAATTAGCTTCTGCTTAAAGCCAACCCAATGGGTGATTTGGCAAACCATGGTTATATTTTTATGTTTGACATTTGTTGCCCTCTTGAAGATAGCTTTGGCAAGTACATTCAATCCAATTAAGTTTTTAATAATATTCTTTGTATATTCTTTGTACATTCAATATTTTCATTGTGATACACAAGAGAGCGGCAATTTGGGAACATGCTAAAAAAACCAGCATTTTGGCTTTTTAATTTTTTTACACAAAAAAGTAAAAAAAAAAAAATCAAAAATCTAACTTTTTTACTAACTTCTCAAAACACCACAGAGTGATCTTTGTGAAAACAAGAGTTATAGTTGATTGGAACATCCAATAATTTTTAATTTATTAAATAAATCTTAATGCATTATTCAATTACGAAACAATGTTTTTGAATTGATTGACTCACATAAACCCTTGTACATACTTGTACAACACTATGAATTATCTTATTGTGTAACCAAGTTGTGTGGAGATTTGGAGTAAAAAAATTGTGATGAATGTTTTAATTATAAAAAATAGTATAAATATTTTTTTAAAAGTGAAAAAATAATGTCTATTATTGTGTGTAGTTGAGTTGTGTGGAGATTTTGGAGTGGAATTTTTTGTAATGAAGTTTTCAATTATAAAAAAATAATATAAATATATATTTAGAGTTTAAAAATAATACATATTTTTAATAAAATTGTAAAAATGTATAAATTTATAGACGATAAACAAATATAAGAGTCTTGGTACAATTAATTAATCTAATTTTTTTCTATAAAATTTAAAAGGGCTAACAGTACCGTACCTCTCTAATAATTGATTGACCTTATTTTTGCCTCGATTTTAACTTTTGTTAATATTCTATTATGAAAAAAGCTTAAAAAATGACACGTGAATTGTATATTTTAATTTTTTAACTAAAATATCAATTCAAGAGCTGATTTATTTATGTTTATTATATACATGAAAAAATATGTACATACATATCTTTCTTAGGGAAAAAAACGTTATATACACATGTTAGTTTTACATGTTATGTTAACAAAAGATTATCTAGATAAAATGTAATACTATAGTTTTTAGTTAGGGATGTAAAATGTAAGGATAATGCCATATTTAACGAGTCCTTGGTGATATTTAACAGATGATGTATTATATATGGCATTGTCACTTTAAAATTATGATCCCACGTATTATACAAATTATAAAGATTCAAAATTTTTAAAATTAAATTATCACTTTAAAATTATAACTCCACTTATTATACAAATTATAAAGATTCAAATATTTTGAGTCTTTATAATTTACATAATATATATTGTCATAATTTTAAAATGACAATATTATAGCATATATTGGTACACTAATTGGTGTACCAAATTGGTGCACATAGCACCACTAGAAATATAATCTATCAATTTGAAATTAGGGAGTGTTTGACATTTGTTAATATAACACATTATTCTTATTTAGGTCACATCGCTTCTCTACCATATCAATTTTTTATAAAAATAAAAAAATATATTTATTTAAATCATCCTGAATTGGCCTTAGATTTGTCCAATTTAAATAAGAAAATATTTTCCCACGCGTCTTAAAAGTGCGTGACTACAAAGTGGAGTAAAAGGCAATCTTTGAGTCGGCAGGGGCAGAAAATGCCCGCAAATCTTTACATTGTTTTATGAGTAAATTACATTGACCCCTAAAGTTTAGAAAAATTATAATAAGTTTCACAATTTTAATATAGTTATAATGATATTCTTTTTAATAATGTAATGTCATTTTTGAACTAGTTGCATGACATTTGCCATTCAACCAGGTTTTAGTTAAGAAAATTTCATCTACATTCAACCACTCATAGTTTCAAAATCTATTGCGAGAGTTAGGTAAATTGGGGAGTGGATATGAATCAAGTTGCCAATTAAATAAATTCTAATTTTTTATTCAACAAATCTCATTTTACCCAAAAAAACACTTGACTTTTTAACTAAACAATGATAGGGAGTGAGTGTTCTATTTTTCTGAAAGTGAAAATCGTCATTTTCAAGTTTCAATACTCTGTTTCTTGAACAAATAAATAATATAATGTATACATATTTATGAAAAATTCATAGTTCAATGTTGCTGGATGAGGTTTGGCAAATTGAAACTTATATATCCATCACACGATCAAAACTTGGCTTTTTAAAAATTGTTAGACTTGTATTTGTCCGACCCGTTGCATTAAAATCATTAGGGATGAAATCGTGTTGTTCAACCTTTTTTCCTCAATTTTTGGGCCAAATCGATTCATTCGATTTTGTAACCGAACAAACTGAGATATATATAAACCGCACCAAACAAGTTCATATAGTTTGGTGCAGTTGTTATGGTTTTGGGCCTTTTGCAACGTAGATTTGTGATGGATACGGAAAAAAGAAAAAACAATGGAAACTATTTACATTGTACATGACATCCATTCAATTCAAGAGCATTAAAAAAGAAAAAGAAAAATTGACATACAATAAACGAAACATTAATTCAATCCAGTGGTTGCTTTGCTTCAACAGTTAAGAATTTAGCAAAATCAAAAAGGTTTTAAAAAAGGTTCAAAAAACTAGTCTTTTCGAAAAAGTTCAACAGATTAGAGTTTTCAAAATAAAAAATTAAGTCGTCATAGTTACCTTAATTTTGAGTCGAAATTGCTACACCAACAAGAAGATCTTTATAATGAGAATGAAGGAGTCCCTGTGAGAGAGAGTGCTCTTCTATCACGTTTTTGCTTCAGATGAGTAATAGTGAGGAGTGCGACAGATCGTCATGTATGAGAAAGGTGATAAATGAGAAACCCTAAGACCGTGAAAAGTTAAAGAGAGAGAGAGAGAGAGAAAAGTAACTATTTGTTTACTGTGTGTCTATGTGAAAAAAAAAAAATATATATATATATATATATTTTGTTATATTTAGACCTCATTTGGAAATAAATTATTTTAAATTTTTTTTATAAAAAGATGTGTAAAAAAATAAAAATGCCTTACTGAGGCACATGCATGGTTGTGATTGTGCCACACGAATGACTACAATAAAGAGGGCTATTCGGTGTGACTCGGCCCTACATTTTGAAATACCAAAACTCAAATTAAAAAACAAGGTTGACTGCCCAAAATGGGACAGGAAAAATAGATCGAAAACCAGTCGGTTCAGTTTCTACAGTTAATTTTTTACCCTTAGATATCGTCTGTTTAAAGTTAAGTATATGAGTCGATTGAATGTTTATCTAGCTCTACTTTTAGTATAAATAGTATAAAACACAAAAAATAAATAAAATAAAATATACATTTTAGTATAAAAAGATATGATAATATTATTTTATTACTCATATAATAAATTATTGTTCAGAAAAATAAAAATAAATTACTGTTAAAGATATGACTAAGCTATTATATGAATTAAAATATTAATTTTAAAAATATAAATTAAAATATTATATAATATTAAAAAAAAATGTTTGAGACGTCCTTATATCTTTAATATTTCAACATATGAAATAATTTGATACTGGTCAATTTTTAATTAATTTAAACACTCAACAATAATATGGAGTCCACCACTTTAACACCTCATTATTGGTGTATTTATAATTATAAAAAGGATAAATTATAAATACACATTCTGAAATTTGTTTAAAGTACAGATTATTCCTAATAGTTTAAAAAATTACAAATATCTCTTGTTAGTGTTTTTTATTTAATAGAATTGACTAAAAAAAATGGAATTTATAATTTCTCTCCTATACAATAATAAAATTATCTAAATTATTAATTGAAACATATTTTTAATATTATTAAAAACTGTTAATTGACTTGATGATTTATTAATAAAAAGGGTCATGTGTTATGAAATTAGAAATCTCAAGAGCGGAATGTAATTTTCAAAATCACAAGGAGCGATTCGTATTTTAATCAAATTTCAGAAGGTATATTTGTAATTTACCCATGTAAAAATGTAATTTTCTAGCATTATTGACTAATAAATTATAGAACATGCTATGTTATAGATTCAAAATTTTCTACTAAATAAATAATTGATATTGTGTTTAGGCCAAGTTTGGCAACTCTGAAAAAAGTCAAAAAATCAAAAAGTTACTAAAAAAGTTAAAAAATTATCACTATTCACCAAAAGTCAAAAATTACGGCTGTACAACTTCCAATCCTAATTTTTCCCTACCCACTAATTCCTACACACTAATTTATATAATTTTTTAATACACATTTTTTTTATAAAAAGTCAAAAAATTAACACAAACATCCATATTTTGTTCCTCAATTTTTTAGGAGTTGTTTGGAATAAACTAAATAAGTGTACTTTTTGACTTTTTATGAAATATGGGTTGAGTATGGATTGAGTTTGAAGTGATGTGGTAGAGAGGTGATGTGACTTAAATAGGATAGTGACTTTTTGACTTTTATAAATTATGTCAAATCAAATCTTAGTCTAAAAAAATAAAAAATATATTTATTTAAAACATTCTAAACAATTCTTAATTAAAGAATTTGAAAAGAGATTTAAAAATCAATCTCAACCAAACGAAGCGTAAATAACTCACATGGATTTTGACCCATACTTTTATAGACCTCATATTTATTTGATAAGATACTATCTCTAACATTACCCATAAATTACTGTTAAAGATATGACTAAAATTATGGAAGTTTTTTCTTTCTAAATTTTAGGGAGTTGAGTGTAATTTACCATTGTTTAACGTATTTCTCTGAGTTGTGTAATGGAGGCCAACGTCATATCTCCGTCTTGTTTCTGCTGCAGGAAGAGAGACGCCTTCCCACTCTCTCTCTATATCTCTCTCCAATTTTAAAATTCTCTCTATATCTATCTCTTTATTTGTCTGCACATACACGATGATCAATCGAAAAATAGCGCAGAAGGGCGAGATCAAAACCCTAATTTAGCCTTTCGTTCCGGTGATTCTCTCTCTCGGTCGATACTTCTCTGATCCAGGTAGTTTCCTACAACAAAACCCTAGTTTCTGACCTGACTATATTAGAACAGGAGCGACAAAGCCACCGTAGAATTACGCTCATTTCGGTACTAACTCAAAGCGTTACGTTTATTTGCTTAATTTGACGATCTATGTAGTGGGTGATTCGAGATTCGAGTTCTTATTAGGGCAAAAAAGGAGCGATTTCCTGTATGTATATGTGATTTCAGATCGAATTTTTGATGAAAAGGGTAATTAGAGGCCAATAATGTCTGGGAAATTGTGTTGCTTGGTTTTATTGTAGAAGATTGTAGATTGCGTTGGATCGGTGTTTTGGGCAGCTGAATTTCAGATTGTAAAGGTAGTGGTGTTAGCTTTGTTCTATTATTGTTAGATGAGGTTTTTAGCTTTGAATCAGCAAACATTATATAATTGGTGATTGGTGTTTTGATCAAATCATGTATTGGTTCTCTTCACTGTTTTGAACCGGAATAGCATTACAATTGTTAGTGACTAAAATTGGTGGAGACACGAATGTCTCAGGTGATAAAAATGGTAATATGAGTTCTGGATATTGTTTGTTGGACGTGGGGTTGCTTTGTTGAATTTGCATACGGTGAGTGGTGGGTTGAGACCGTGTGGTTCATCACATTGCGGGGAAATCATTTCAACAAGTATTGCAGAATGAGCTTGGAAAGTGAAATTCAAAGCTCTCCTGACAGGGCTACTGAATCATTTTGCGAATCCGAGAAGTAATGAACTATTTTTTTCTCATATTTTTCTTCTAGATTGTCAATTTGATTTGATATTATGTTTTGTTTTAGTTACTCTTATTTCCTTTATTGTTGTTCGATGATGCATATTTTTGATGAATCAGGCATTCCAAAATTTCATATACCAGAGATTTTCTTTTGTCATTAAGCGAGTTAGATGTTTGCAAAAAGTTACCAAGTGGATTCGACCAATCAATACTGAGGTATGATTCTCATTGTATTCCTTCATTTTGAACAAATTAATGTCTTTGCACTCATTACTATGTTAAGCCTTTGAGATAGGATACTACTTTCCATTATTGGCATTGGCCTGCATGGTTGTCATGATGTTTCTGCTTCTTTTTTTCTGCATCGTGGCATACTGATCTTGAACGGTTACTTTGTATGAATCAGTGAATTTGAGGATGTCTCCCATGGCGTACAGGACCGTCAAAGAATACCTGGTACCTTAAGTTTCAGGCGCACTGAATATGGCTCGCCCCCACCGTCCAGGGGGGATTCAAGTAATTATTCCCGGGGAGTATATGGAAGATGGGACAATCGATTGTCTGGACGGAGTGATAAAGACAGTGACTCGCAATCTGATAGGGATTCAGGTTTGTTTGGGAGTTTCTTTCTCAATTCAGCTGATATGTCAATATATAACATGTTTATGCCTTCACATGGACTAGTTTTGTCTGAGGCTGAGATTTAGGTTTTAATTATGTATAGTCACATATATATATATATATATATATATGCATTCATTTTGTTCATATCCATATTGTTCTACTTGTAGTTTAGGAAGTTGTTTTAGTTTTTCTTCAAGTTTTTCCTTTTAAGGCAAGGCAACTCTTGAATGCATTAGGCTTAAAAATTATGCAAAAATCTTGTTAAGCTTATACATAATGCGCAGGTATACTTAGCGTCCCTTTGGCGCCTAAAGTGAATTTTCATTACCTTTCAAAAAAATGAGAAGGTGCTGCCTGTTCCCTTTTGCGGCCCAAGTTATAAGATGCATGCCTTTTGTGTCTTGAGAAATATGAATAGATAAATAGATTCGAAAAGACCTTGAAAACCTTTTAATGATAACCTTTTTATAGGTAAATAGATGCATAACCTTTTGATCAAGAATAGATAAATCCTTTCATAAGAAATATGAATTGATGAAAATGATTGAGCGATTCTCCTTCCAACAAATAGAAAACACCTATTGACAATAATGTGTTGGAAACAAATTAAGTGTTGGAGTACGTGTGAAAGTAGAGTCCCACATCGGATAAAGAGTAAAAAAGATGAATCTGGGCTCACAACTTATAGACTCAAGCTTTTAAGTGGGTATGAGTTCCAAATAATGTTAGGCCCCGATGTTAAGCATATGGGCTCTAGAATTTATCCCCAATGAATTGGGTTGGTGTTGCTATGTGCTTGTGGGCTCCTCGATTCCCTAACATTAAGTTGTTCAAGAAAAAGAAAAAAAAAAATCCATGTGCTTTTGCGCATACAAAAATGGAAACCTTGGGTGGCTCTCTAGACTAGAGACCCAAATCATTCTCCAAGGAAAATATGATGCATGGTTACCACCAAAGCACCATTATAAGATTTCAATTTTCACCTCAAAACTTCGCGACCTTGGCTTCTTCCACCTTAGAAGAAGTGCTATTCATCCAATACAATTTCGAAATTAAATAGCTATCATCTCAATGTATTCCCAATTCTGTCTCTTTTAAATATCCTAGAGCACTTCATTTTCCTAATTCATGAGATAATATGCAATGAAGCCTGATTGTCTATTATCTCAAAAAGGCCCAGAAGTGTTGATGGTAGACTCTACGCTCCCCACCAAAGGTGTCTCAAAAACGTTACCCTTTCACCTTTCTTACAAACGGGCTATCTAGGTAGCATGGCCATGCCCTTGTTTGACACATGTTAGACACCAACACACATACACACAATGACATGTGTCAGACATGTATCTAATGTGTCCTATTATTTAAAAATTTAAAATGTTTTGGACATGTGTCTAGTGTTTGGAAACGTATGATTCGCATCTAGTGTATTGGCACATGCTTGAGGAAATTAGATTGGGGACCAAAGATCCAACTGAAAAAATGTATGGATTTATAAATATGTATCCTTCATTGGGTATTTTAATGTTTGAAACTCTAGATCTTTACAAATTCCAAGTTAGTTTGTGAGTATTTAAGGCTTCAAAACTAAGATATTTAAGCTTTACATTCCCGTTCTTCTCAACAAATAACTGTAAAATTAATAATATTTATTGTTTGGTATAATTAAAAGAAACTAATATTGTACCTAAAAAGTGAATAATTGTCTTTATTTTTATGCATATATATGCAAGTAGATATTTATTTTTTTCTTGTGTCCCTGTTTTGTCCATGTCCTAATCTTTTTGGAAATTGCCATTTTGGCGTGTTTGTATTGTGTTGGAACTTGGATCCATGTCCTGTGTTTTATTCATGCTTCTTAGTAGTCTTGTGTATCCCCAAAACTCATCACACCATCCACTGTTCCCTTTGTATAATCCCAGCCTCCTGAAAATCAAGAGAATCTTTAGACTGATTGAGGGAGGGAAGCCTGAAGACATTCTATTCAGTCCCAAAGTTGCTCAATTCACCTTATTAGGAGGTGGTTTACACACAAATTTGCTAGTTAGTGCCTTGTGAAGTTGATGATGCCAAAGTTGAGGGAGCTTCACTATAAATTTGATGACAAATTTTCACTGGGACTTGAACCCTTGTCATCGGAAAGGAAACACACAATGACAGCAGAACTGTAGACCTTCAAATGTGCAATGTTCGTGTACTAAAGAAACAGAGACATATTGACTTATCCAAAAAAAGGTAGTACACACACATATTGCATACACCCATAAATGCTTATCCGCACTTTATGGAGGCCCCTTTTTCATTGGGGTTCTCATGGTTGTGCTCCCATTGCATGCCCTGGCGACCCAGTTCTGTATGATGACTGTCATCAGAACTATGCCCTGGTTCCCATATATCTATTCCTAGCTTGTTCTGCAGTACTCTTTTGTTGCTTAATTCTGTTAAGAGTCTCATGACATATTCCATCCTTTGTTCTGCTTAGATCTGGCTAGACTGTAGCTTTGTCTAAGATAGTCTGTCAATGAATACAAAACATGTGTGGCTTTCGTGACCTCTTGATTTATTCAATTCTCATGCAGAGTCTGCAAGGCGTTATGGCAACAAATCTCAGCAGTCTTATCAAAATTCTGAGCATGATGGGCTTCTTGGGAGTGGTTCTTTTCCAAGACCATCTGGATATGCAGCAGGGTTGTCAGCTCCAAAGGTTCGATCTAATGATCAGTCCCAGCTGAACAGGAGTAACGAGCCATATCAGCCTCCCCGCCCTTATAAGGTTATCTTTGTACTTGTTTATGTTTGATTTAATGAGAAACCTCAGCTTCAATATGTCCATCGTTCTGGATTTGGTTCCTGGAGCAATTTAAAGATGCGCAACCAGTACATTTTATTTTACCTTTTGTTTAAAAGAAAAACTCTTGTCAAGGAGAATTGAATTCAGTTGAAGTTTTGTTGAACTAAAATTACTAAACATCTCCATGATTTACTTTCTGTTTCCCCTTTTCTCCAGGCGGTACCTCACTCACGGAGAAGCACCAATGACTCATTCAATGATGAAACATTTGGTTCTACAGATTATACAAGTCAGGATAAAGCAGAAGAGGAAAGAAGGAGAAGGGGTAATGCTTTCTTCACATTGTCTTGCTGTACCAGTTTTTCCATCTTTGGTCTTTGTTACATTTTGTTTATGGTCAATTGAACTTGGAGCTTAACTTTCTTCCCAGTTTCGTTTGAGTTGATGAGGAAGGAACAGCAAAAAGCACTTCAAGAGAAGCAGAACTTGAGCTTAGATAAGCATAAAAGTGACCTTCTCTCAGATTTTACTGAATTACTGGAAGATACTAAAGATGGAGCAAGAGGTTTCAATCGAAGCAACAAATTGGATGAGTTTGTAAAGCAATCAGTTTTAAATGATGATTATAGCAAATCTTCTTCACAAACTCCTGCATTTAGACCACTGGTACCCCCGGGATTTAGAAGCACAGTTTTGGAGAAGAATTCTAGCCCTAGATCTTTAACCCATTCCCATTCAGCAGAGGTATATTTCTGTCATTTGACTTGACTTTTTATGCACTGGAACTTTTGCCTGAACTGATTTGTTCTAACTGTCTGGACAGCAGGGCCTTTGGCTCCTGATAAAATAAATAAAGTGGTCAGCTTCCTTTATATATATATATATATATGTATATGTGATAACTGTTTCATCTCTCATTCAAGATATGCGCCATCAACAAATCCTATGTTCAGTAGAATTCGTCATCATCATGGCATGATGAGTTCAGGTTGAACTTATCGTCTTTGTAAGCCCATCTTATTGCAAGCAACTGGTTACTGGTCTTTTTATTCATACACAAGAACAAATTAATTGAAATTTGACTTGCACATTAACTTTGGCACCTCTTTCGCATCTCATCTCATCTCCTATCCCTTATAGTCAGGTATATTTTGCTTTATGATCATCTTCAGTTTCCACTGTCATCTAGGTAATCCAGGTCATTAAATAATATATTATCTGGACTAAGATTAAAAGTTTGGGTCTGTTTGGATTCATTTTCATTTTTGATGTTTTTGTTTTTTTGTGTTTTTGGAAACAAAAACAATGAAAACTTAAAGAACACCCATTGTTGCCATTTTGGGTGTTTTCATAAAATTTTCTTGAGAACAGTTCGTCAATCAAGTTTTCCATGTCAGTTTCCATTTTTTTTCCCAGTCAGAACAGCTTTAAAAAACAATACCAAACTCACCAAGTTTCATGAATTCATTCCGTTTTGTGGCCTAAAATTTTTATCATATGTAGGTCCTTGCAGAAGTTCTGGACTAAAGTCCTTTTTAGTGGCTTCCTTTCAATCAATTTGCCAATTAATTATAGGAAAGAGAGAATGAGCCTCTGGTTAGCAGTCGATAAATGGAAAATGAGTATTCAATAATATGAACAGATAAATTGTCAGTGTGTGTATGTAGAAGTAGTAGGCATATAATATACTGAAACAAATTATAGCACGACTATCCAAATCTCTTGTTAGGTGATTTTAGCTAGCAGCCTGTCATGGTATTGGCAAGGAGTTCACATATTGTAAAAGTTCCGTTGCATCCCTTGGTCCAGCAGTTCATATATTACATGTCCAAATGAGGGGTGTTATCTTCTAAACCTAACCTGAACAATTGATTATGTTTTTGGGAGAGAGTGTCAAAAACCGGGTTTGTTGGTCCATGAGACAAGAATATACAGCATAGCTTTTGCAAGGGTGATAGCAAGTTGGCAATGGTGCTAAGTTATTTCCACATTGGTCCATGGATTGGTGCTGGGCACATAGGCTGATTTTCTGCTGATTCTAGCTTTATGTGGTTGTTCCAGTTCGTTGAAGTGAGTGTATTTTTTTAAGTTATTGGGTGGGCAGGAAAGACTACCTGGACCATGCAGGTGTCATCTTCTGGTCCACTTAGCCCTCAAACCTACTTCTTTAAAAGAACTAACTTGTATTATTTGATTCATTTAAGCTACCAATTGCATGCTCAAACCGGCACTTACTTTTAAGGGCAAATTCCACTAATAGTCCCTATACTTTGAGACTCGTGTCATTTTGGTCCCTGACTTTTCAATTGTGACACATTTGACCCTGAATTTTAAATCTTGTTCCAAAAAAGTACAATTGAATATACCATTGTTTAATTTGAAGGGTAAAATCGTCAATTTAATAAAATATAAACTAATTTGACAAAAATAAATGTCAAACAAATATTTTTAATTTTTAAAATATTATTTTTATCCACCAATGATAAAATTATGTAAAATTGATAAAAATTAATAAAAATCACATGATTAATTTTTAAAAATTAATTTTACATGATCATCATTTAAACACATAATAAAAATTAATTTGGTAAAAAAAAAAAATAAATGTGTAAAAGACTTATAAATTTTACATAATTTTATTTTTAGTGGGTAGAAACAATTTTTTAAAATTCAAAAATATTTGTTTGACATTTATTTTTGTTAAATTAGTTTATATTTTATCAAATTGACGATTTTACCTTTGAAAAATCTAATAATATCTTCAATTGTCCTTATTTGGAACAAGATTCAAAATTCAGGGTCAAATGTATCATAATTGAAAAGTTAGGGACCTAAGTGACGCAAACCCCAAACTAGAGAGACCACTAGTGTAATTCACCCTACTTTTAAAGACATTTTATTTGTCACCTTCTTGTTTCCTTTCTCATTCAGATGAGTGTTAATTTGTTGGTTCTGCAGGTTGGTGGGAGACTTGAAATTGAGGAAAGTCTTTCTCATGCCAAAGCAATTGTGCAAAATGGCTCTCTTGATAATCAAGAAGAGGCACAATCAGTCCAGAAAATGGATTTCAGAGAGAAGCAGCACGAAGATACAAGTTTCCACACACCCAATCTTAATAAGGTTGAACAGGTTGTGGATTCATCAGCAGAAATAGAAGTTTCTAATAAGAAACTTGGTATGGACAACCAATTATACAGGACTTCTAGTCTTTCAGAAGCCTCTGAAACCCTGGATGGTAGTGAAATTATTGAGTTTGAAACTAAGATGACAGGGAATAAAATTGTTATTGATTCCAAACAGGATCATTCGATGTCAATTCTAGAAAAGCTTTTTAATAGTGCTTTAACGGTGAATCTCAGTGGATCCTCAGGTTTTGTAGAGGTAATTATTGTATTTATGCCATTTGCTTCAAGGCTTTTATATAGGTGCATTGTTATTGAAATTGTAAGTAGTATGTTCTAGATTCAATTATAAAACTTTATGATCATAATTATTCATTGATGGGTGGAAATTCAGTCTGTTATTCTTTCGGCCCACGCCACTTATTATGCTGCCATCATATATATGCTCATCGTTATGTCATTGTCCTATACATGCTCATAAACTGACTACTAATGTTCATATTATTTTTTTGTTCTTGCCAAGATGACAGCGATTTGTATTCTGGATAATTAAGATTATAGTGCTTGGCAACTATACCTATCTTTTTTTCTTCTTGGATCGGCAACAAACCAAAATATTAGGTGCCATTTGGTGAAGTTTACAGTTTATTGTTTTTTGTTTACAGAAAATATTAAATATGTTTGTTTATTTTTGGTAAAAACGAAAAGAAAAACATGTTTGGTACACATGTTTTAAAAAAAAATTGTTTTGAAAACAAGTAAAAGGGTCGGTTTGCGAGAGGAAAATAGGAGGCCTTTGATGCCGTCAAAATTATTGTATAAAGGTGAAAGGTGCTCATTGCTGATTTCTCTATATGGTTATCTGGAAATTTGTTTTTAGTTTGTGGTTATTTATTTATTTTTATGGATGAAGTTCGGTTTTGTTGCCTCTGTATAATCATGCACATTGCTTTAGCTTCATCTTTGGACGGTGGATTCTTCTTACTTACCAAAGGTGGGTATCTGACATGACACCTTTTTTTCTTTTTTTTGTTGCCCCAGCATCATGATAGTGAACGAGATGACACACGGAGCCCCAATGCTGTACAGTCTTCCAAGTTTGCTCATTGGTTTCTTGAAGATGGTATGCATGTATTGGTTTTTCGGTTTAAATTTTTTTGAATGTTTTTCAGCAGAAATTTTCTGAGCTTAGTTCTTGAGTTGGGTCTTGTATAAGTTATAGTACTTTTCATCTACTGCAGAAAAGAAGGCAGCCGAAGATCCCTCATATGCTAAGCCAAGTGACTTGCTATCATTAATTGTTGGTGGTGAGAAAGGTGGATCCCAAGTCTCTGATGTGAAACCAACCCACATTCTACCAGACATTACCTTGCATAATTTAGAACATGCCAACAGATATATGACATCTTCCCCAATTGGACTCTCAGAACAGTTCTACAATTCCAGTAAAGAAGAGGCAGTTTCATCAATCCTAACATGCGAAGATCTTGAACAGACTATTCTGTCTGAATATAGTGAAAGTAGTTCAACTTTGCAGGCATCTGGTGGAGGCTGGAGTGTTTCTGGTGCAAAGACTGAAGAATCGAAAGCAGATATTGATGATCGTGCTTCTCAACACCTCCTGTCTTTGTTGCAGAAGGGAACAACAGGCTTGAAAGATATTGCACAATCCCCTAATCTAGACAGCAGATCCTCTGACAAACTACATATTTCTGAAGGTGCAATTGTTGGCACTTCCCTTAACTCTAGAGAGGAAAAGGCCGATAGTATTCCCCATTCTGGGAAGAATCTGACACTTGAAACACTCTTTGGGTCTGCTTTCATGAAGGAGCTGCAATCAGCCGAAGCACCAGTTTCCATCCAAAGGGGCTCGGTTGGTTCTGCAGGAATCGATATTTCAGAACAGCAAGGATTACCTTTTGGAATCATGGGTGATACTCTCTTCCCAACTTCCACAGTTGGAATTGAATCTAACAGGAGCAATCATGAAAGCAATGTTCTGCAATCAAGTCAGGGACAGCAAACTAAGTCAGATAAAATTGAAAGCTGGTTGGGGTTTAATGATACTCAAGTTGAAGTGGATCGATCAAAACACGGAACCAGTGTAGTGTCTAAGCTCGGTGGCTTTGATGGGGCAGTTGATATTCAGCTGCCTGAAGAAGAGAGCTTGATTACAGTTGGTGATCCTGTGAATAACACCCCTTTTTCCATGTTCATGTCTGCTGGAAACTCAACAAAAGGCGAATTGCTATCCTCAAACAAACCGGTTGACATAGTTGAGAAGCTGGCAGCTCTTAATTCAGTTTTCAAGGATGAACGAGCTATGGTAGGTTGGGAAGGTACCCCTTTTGTTCGTGGTCCTTATAATCCAATGGAACCTGAGATTCCATACCGCAATCTTCGTGCCCAACCATCATCTCAATTTCATCCCCATCAGATGAATCCCGGGAGGCCATTTTTCCGTCCATTAGATTCCCATCCCACTCATCCTAATTCCCAGATGAATTTCATGGTTCCAGAGGGCAATAACCGTCAAGATGCCCCTGCGAATCATCAATTTCGTGCAAATATGTTGCGACCTCCTTTCCATCATCCAAATCCTAACACAGGGCGAGGAGGTTTCGAGCTTCCTCATCATCATCCTATGTTACAGCAAATGCAAGCGCCAGGCAATTTTCCTCCACATCATCTACTACGAGAATTTCCCAGGGGTGGTCCGCTGGCTCCTCACCCAAGCAATCAGGCAACTGGTTTTATGCAGGAACTAAACCCGATGCAAGGTTTTCCTTTTCGTCATCAGCAACCCAACTTCGGTGGCCCTGGAATGTCTTTGCCAGGTAAAGTGTCACCGCTCCATTGCTCCTAGCATTTTTTAATTTACCTCATTATTGAAAACTATGAAGCATGGGTACTTTGAAAAACATGTTGCACCCTTACCGGGTATGTATTAAGTGCTAGTACTTTGCATTCTATATGCATACTGGCTACACGAAACATGCATCCAATTTTTTGTTCTTAATTTTTGCCATATCCGAGAGGTACGTAGTATATACCCAAGTCATAACTTAGCCGGAATACTATTTTCTTTTATACAAAGGTGAATTTAGTTTTATTGAAAAATTTCTATGCTCAACATGATTCTAAATTAAGCTTTGGTTTGTAGGTTCTGTAATATAATGACATTTAACTTTGGTTTATACCCTTAATTTGGGGATTAAAGTGTAGACTGTAGGTTGGATCATTAACCAACTATACAATTTAACTAATTTTTGTATTACTCCAAATTAAAAGTAAATATTTCTTTACAAACGTGCCCAACTATACCTATGCTCTTTTTTAGATTTTTTTGTATCAACAAACCCATACTGTACCCTTACATGCTTCTTAGGTTGGGAAAGTGCGAGCTTGGAAAAATCCTTAAAAAGTTCTTTTCTTGGAATGCTCTTTAGTCTATATCTATAATAAGAAAGAATATACTTATGTAGTGGATAAAAGTTTGATCAATAATTTGGTTTGTCCCAACTTGTGCATAATATCCCATGTATTACGTATTGGTTTCAAATTTACATATAATTTAATAAAATTCTACCAATTAGAGCCACTTTCAAGGGCATACAGTGAGTTCCAATGATGAAGCATAAATTTTTGTTTTCTTCTTTTAAGGTGATAAAGCTTGGAATATAGCTTTTGTTTTTTGTGGCATGGAAATGTGCTTCTATTGCATGGTTGGTGTTTTGTTAATAGTACTATAAAAATAGAAAATTTGTACATAATTTTTATATGGGATGACTTGGTTGAAGTTGAACAAAACACGTTAAAATGACTCTGGCTATACTATACTATTATATGAAGCACACAACTCGGTAGATGATTTTGAAAAAAAGCACGTTAAAATAACTGCTAAACAGTTATAGTAACTGCCAAATAGTTTTCAAATTTAACCTAACTTTCTCATTTCAAATTGCTCTAAAGTTTAGATGTAAAATTGCAAAAGTATCATGTTTGCACCCGCTACTAGTATAAATATTGCCATTGCCACGTCATTTTGGATGCATTTTCTATGTAATTTCTCCATAAGAAAAGAATTTTCTAATTATATATTTTCCTCGTATCAGGTCCTGATGTTAGTGGTGGAAGCAATCATCCGGAGGCGTTCCAAAGGCTTCTTGAGATGGAACTCCGAGCAAATTCAAAGCAGATTCACCCTTTTGCTGCTGTTGGCCACAGCCAGGGAATGTATGGTCATGAATTAGACTTGGGCTTTCGACACAGATAGAGTGGATCATTGTGGCAACTGATGGAGTCCCACTAATGCGTGTTTTAGATGGAAAAGATTGAATGGGGGTAGTGCAATTAATGGATTTTATTTGCCATAGTTACGGGATTGAGAGTTTGGGTTTGTTCCTTCATGATTTGAAAACCGAACAAAATTGGGAAGAAAAAAAAGAAAGTAAAGATGGGGAAATGTTGTGTAAAAGCATTTCGTGCTTGTGGTGAGTAATCTGTTTGCAGCACTGTTCAGAAGCTTGGAGTATAAGCACGGTGTGGTATGTCGACACTTGACACTGCTTTTATCATGGTCTTTAGCTTATATACAACAGTAACATTTCATTCTGTTAGGTGTCGTTTGGTAATGTATGTTCTTTTTTCAACTAGTATATTATGAATCCACATAGTTCATCTTATAATTGGGTCATTCACAGTATTAGATAACTAGATGTGTTTGGTTGTAAAAAATGAAATACCTTAAAAATTTTACTGTACTCGGTCTAAGTCTTTGTGGAAGTTTACAATATGTTTATTTCCTTTAGAACATAGAATTACTTGCATCTACTGTGTAGTTTATTTAGAAGATAACAAAAATCTAAAATAGTGAATTTTGAAATGAAATAATTTAATTTGTGTAACAAAAATGGGTTTGGTGAGCATGAGGACGTGAGTTTCTCTTGACTTTTCTTAGGCCCACTGATTTTTTACGTTGACCACATTTCGTAGCCGGGTATGGCTTCTCTATATCCTGCTATCATTTATAGTTCTCCATATTTTATTTTGTGAGCCTCATTTTGGACTCAATGATAATTTAAATCATTCATCTTTTATAATTTACAATAAATATTATCTGTGTAAAAAATTAATTTTATTAGATATCGGTTAATAAATAAATAAATAAATAAATTATATTTTATTTTATGAAATGTATAGTTTAAGTTTAAACTCAGAGTTGTCTTCTATTTTGGTTGCACAAATTAAATTATTTCAGGTTGCCTTCTATTTCCAAAAAATCAAAATGTACGAACATAGAATAGATCGCATAAAACATAAGTGAAATTATCTCAGTGAAATTTTATGATGAGTTTTATCCGGTGGTATTATACGCATGACTAAAATTAATTGTGTATTTATCCATAATCTTACACCGCACCAACTCTGCCACTGTCAAAACCACTGGAACCTTAAAAGTGCCCATAAAATCACCACACAAATGCACATCTAACCCAATAGCACCACACAAACACCTCTAACCCAATTTGTCGGATCTAAGGAGCACCACATCATTAACAGCCTAAAGGGTTCCCCTTAAGGATGATGTTATGAAGATCATGTCGGACTACGAGCAAACTCAACCCGTTCAACGAATCTGAACCAACTCAACCTGCCCAGAAAAGTCATTTCTAGGCTTTTTTCATTGGTGATGACAACAATGGCCGCATGCCTGTCGACGTCAACTGCAACAAAGAAGTTGACACAACAATTTGTGGTGCAAGTGGTGAAGTTAGTGATTTCGGTGAGAGGAGAATGTAAGGCTTATAACATAAACAAGTTAAGTTGAGTATTAAGTTTGTTTAAACCTGATTTAAAAACTTAACGGTAGTGAGAATCACGAGGATAGAATGAATATTTTAATGTAAAAATTGATGACATTCACTCTACTAACGGGCAATTAACAAAATCGGCTAAAGTATTATATCAACACTAGTTTATAAAAACAACGTAATTATGTTAAAATTATGAAATAGTGCAATATCTTCAGAGATGTCAGTGTAATTTACTCTTTAATTTATATACATACAAGTATACTTCAAGGCAAATACTATATATGCAAGTTATGCAATTTGTGAGTTTGATTATTATAAATGATATAACTTAACACTATGAGAGTCATAACTAAAAAAAAAAAAAAAAAAAAAAATTAAGTTAAAACTAAATATCACATTAGATTTTATCAAACAATTTTTGAATTATAACTAAAATAATATCATAACCAATAGGTACATGAAACAACTAGCTCTAGCTTGTCATCACAATAGAAATCACCCTGAGTTCCTTGAGACAATATACAGAAAGACAAGCAGTGAAATGGTTAGAAACCATCAAAAACCTCAAATAAATAAATGAATGAATAAATAATACATCACTTTTGCCAACAGGGGGATCGACCCCACAAGCCACAACATAAAACACATACAAACCCTCATCTTAGTGCATAAAATTGAATGCTTTACAAATTACATTCTCTCTTGAAATATCATAAACCTTGAGGGTGAAGGAGACAGGTAGGTAGGTACACATTTTATGCTCTGCTTGACTATCAAATGTTCACACAACTTAATAGTAATTCCATCATCTTCACCTACAGCTGCTAGAATTTCGACATGATCCATATATAACTGAAAGACATATTCTCCGTACATCAAAAACCTATTGAAAGGCTCTACAAAATCCAAAAACTGGTTTAAGGACAAATTAACCACCCCTGATAACCAACTAACTATATGAGGACCAAAAATAAAACTCTTAATTGTAAAAACAAATCGTTACACCATCAAAAGATCTTCTATTCAGCTCGCTCCATTGTAACCACAAAATTGCCAACGAAGCCAGAGCCGCCTTTCTTCTTTGCATAATATTAGTATATGCATCCAAAAGTTGGGTATGGGTACAGAGACACATCTTAAACACTTGTACATATTGTATATTGTATTATATTTCAGATAAGATATTGTAAATTATAGAAAAATGTACTTCAAATTAAATGGGATATAGGAAATATATGGAATTTATATCTCCCATTAATGCGAGAAGTTAGAAATATTTCCTTACAAGCAAATATGAGTGTCATCTTCAAACATCATATAAAATTAGAAGATCTAAGCATCTAAAATGGATACGGTTGTCGGACATATATCTCACACCCTTACTCTTGTCATATACAGTGGACAAAGATACATTGGCTAAATAGAACAGTCCATGTAACAGTTTGTCCCCTTCGATATCCCACATTGACAAGAAAAATCTCTACCTTCTATATAAACATCCCACCTCTTATCCTTTTTTGCCCATCATGCGTTGGGCCTTGCAAATTAGGATTATGTGGCTCGTACTAATATAGTGAAACAGTCCAAAATTTGAGCAAAATCTGGAAAAGACTGACACAGGTCTTACTGAAATAAGATTATTATTTTTCATTAGTTTGGTTTTTATTCATCAGTTCAATTCTGGTTTCAAATATTCTGTACAAATCTATTGTGGTTTGAATTTGGGACTTCAACTAACTCAAACTCTGTGCAAACTAGTCAAGATAACACAATCTTCTGCGCTGAATGTTCATAATCATTAGTTATTAATCAGTTCAATTCTGGTTTCAAATATTTTGACCTGATTTAGGGTTGCTTCAAAACACTAAAGTGAGAACATTTAGTTAGTTGTTTCATTGAAAGGAAATGACAAATACAGCTCTAAGCCTTGTATGCATAGTTGCAAGCAAATACATATAGTTGCGCGCATACATAAACAAGTTAAAATTATGTAACATAGAATTGCATACAAACATAGAATTGCCGACCCCATTTGATGGCACTTAAGGTTTCGTTTGGTTTGGTTAGAATTGCATACAGATATACATACAAAGAGGCTGCAAATTTTGAGCTATGATAATGAATAAGATGGAGTAAAGAAGTAACTTACTAAGGGATTTCTACAATTGACCAATCTACATTCCTCCAAAGAACCTTCAAATGTCCAACTCTTCCAGACATCAAGGCTGTGACTAGCAAATACAAATTCCATTCTTCTATTTACCTGCAACAATGAAATAGAATGTAAATCCTTAGAAAACCGTGACTTAAATAAGGCAATTCAATTTAATTATTCAGGAAAAGAACTAACTCAAAAAGTGATATTCATTATATCTCAATCTTGAAGTAAGGACTATTGCGAACTTTGAACAACTTTTTGGTGGTTTAGGAGTATTGCCCTATACCTTTCATTTAAAGATAAGTGTTCAATTGTTTCTTAGTAGGAGACAAAAAAGGTAATGGATCCCATTGATTCAATCAATGATAACCAAGTTAGAGCACCACATCATCTTACCCCAGTAGCAAAGAATAATTTTCATATATATAGAGGTTCATAGATATGATTGTCAGATACAAATAGCCCAGGTTGTAGAGATTGTGATCCAGGATGTTTTTCAGCTGATGGGTGGTCTTGATGCTTGCTCTTTTTGTTTTGTTCCACGTGCTTTGAATGGGGCTGCACATGCAGTGGCGCAAGTGGGTGGTGTGGGGGCTGGGTGTTTATTTCCCCCTTTTGGTTAGTTGATCCTCTTAGAAAGGATAGCATTGGCTACTCTGTTTTTGTTTGAATTCTGGTTTATCAATATATTTCTACGGTTAAATAAATAAATAATAACTTAATAGAAAATAATGAGATCGATGATAATAATGGGTTTTAATGGAATTGAGAGGGTAATTTATACTTATAAATTGGGTTGCGCTGGGTAATGGGCCGTTATGGGCCATGTTGCGAAGGACTGAGTAAAAAGGCCATGAAGTTACTCTGGTCCAAGAGAGGTGTAAAGTTACTCCGGCTCAAGAGAGGTATAAAGTTACTCCGGTCCGAAAGAATCTTGCGGTTACTCCGGTCTAAAGGAAGCTTTGAACATAGCCCGGTTGCCGTACTTAAAGTTAGCCCGGTCTTGACTTATCGAAGTTATCTCGGCCAGAACCTTGCTGTTTGATAGCTCGGTCTGATCACACCATGGTTGGCGCTAGGAGAAACCTGGGTAAGAGCAGTGAATGGAAGAGCCGAACTAAAGTTAGCTCGGTCTAGTCTGCGGCTTAGCATAAGCCATGCTTACTTCGGTCATAGTGGAATCCAACCATGGTAAAACCATCTCACTTGGTTTAAGCAATGAGGAGGGTGTTGAAGGATAAGCGTTATCTTTCAGGAGTATGAATCTTAGGAGGACTCTACATGGAAAGGTAAGAGTCCTACTTGGATTGTGCCACACGGAACCTATAAAAGTTCACAAACATCACCTATGGAGAGGTAACACACAACTTTGATACACAAAGCTTCTTGTCTACTTGACTATTTTGCTGACTTAGGCATCGGAGAGGTTTCCAGCGCACACCCGTCGGCTAGCTCACGTTTGTGTTTTCAGGGATTAAAGTAACAACGTTTAAAGGAGCGTAGACTTCATCAACAGGATTATACGAGAAGGTTTATTTTTTTCCCGTACAATTGGCGCCGTCTGTGGGAATTCAGACAAGAATAAAACCTCTTGATCGAGCTTTTTCTCTTTAGAAGCAATGGCACACAACGAAGATTTGCCGCAGTCCGCCATCGATGGACAAACACCAGAGGGAGGTACAAGGCGCGAAAGCCTACCTTCTATCCCTCTCATGGCGGACTTGGAGCCACATCGACAAAATCCCAGGAGGGATACAAGGGGGAGGAGGCGGACTAACAGCCCCTATCACTCTCGTTCACGAAGTCCTGACAGACAAAGGCGGAGGATTGATCCTCAAGTTCTGGAGGACCGCGTAAAGGAACAAGATGAATTAATAAGGAAGATGGTGGCAGACATGGAGGCCATGAAGCGCCAGATGAAGGGAAAAGGAGTGGTGACAGGAGAGGGGCGCAAAAGCAAAACGCCCCCTCGCCGCTCAGAAGACCGTGGAAGGTATTCCACACCATCACAAGCAGAAAGTAGGAGCCTCAAGATAGGCGATACTCAATCCAGAACCTCCAGAGCTCGTTTCTCCAGGTCTGAGAGAACGAGATCATTGAGGTCTTACACACAGGGAAGTACCTATCGACCCTCGCGCTCACACCAAACATCATCCAGGCAAACGGAGTTGCCCAAATCATCCGATTTGCGGATCATGCTGAAAGAAAGGGCATGTTTGAAGGAAGATACTAGGGCGTGCGACCCTTGCAGGGTATCTGCCCTTCAGCGGTTGGCTCCTCGGGCGCATGGAAGCGTCGAGGTTGGAATGCCATTACCGCACCCTGCCTACGAACCAACGGACAAAGCATTAGCGAGACTGCAGACCTCACCGTTCGTTCTGGCAATAGAAAACGCGCCCCTACCTTCAGGCTTCCTTCAGCCCAAATTCACCACGTACGAGGGGAAGATAGACCCCTATATACACCTAAGCCACTTCCGCCAGGTTATGGCGGTATATCGGCGAAACAAGGCTTTGATGTGCATCCTCTTCCCATCAAGCCTTGGTGATCTAGGTTTAACTTGGTTCAAAAAACTTCCAGAAGGCAACATAGCCTCCTGGGCACAATTGGCGGAGGCGTTCGTCACGAGGTTCAGAACGAACACCAAAACCCCGGTAGAGATTGACCAGCTACTCTCCATCGACATGGGTGAAAAAGAGACACTAAGATCCTACAATAGTCGTTACTGGGAGACATTCAACCAGAATTGGGACTGCCCCACTAATCTCGCCATTGCCTCAACAATACAAACAGAGGTCTTCAAGTCGGCGAAACAGACTAAGAGACTCATCAACCATGACACCCGCCCCTTACCATGGGAGGCCTTGATGAAGAGTGTCGATCAGCACATCAGGGTGGAAGAGGATGGCGCCCGTACTAAGCACGAGAATCGGGCCACATACTGCAGTACTAGATAAAAAGACCAACAACAAAAGATCAACGGGAAACAGTAGAACGTCGCGAACAAAACGGACGAGGCAGGCGAGACAACGGAGAGGACTAGGATAAAAGATGGTTGAGAGTCCGCACTGCCATAACCACGGTCTTCAAGAAACCGATCTACTGAATTCTAAGTGAAATACGGGATGAGCCTTTCGTCAGATGGCTAGCTAAGCTTGGGGAAGCACAGAAAGACTACGATGAAAGGTCGCGATGCACCTTCCACAAAGAAAAGGGGCACCGTACTGAAAATTGCATGCCATTGAGACAACATCTGGAGGAGTTGGTGGTAGCCAGTCACCTGGATAAATACATTGAAGGAGGGACGCAACCAGCCCCCCAGGACCACAATAACCCCAATAGAATGCCAATTGACGCCCCACCCCAAGGTGTGATCAATGTGATACATGGAGTATTCGAACCTGAGGGTGTATGCGAGCTCAGAGGATCGATCAAGAAAGATGAGCACTTAAGGGAGGTACTAAATGCCCAACCTACCATCAAAAAGGGGAGAACGGAGGCTACAAACGTCATGTCTTTTTCAGACAAAGACTTGGAAAGAATATATTGTCCTCACAACGATGCACTGGTCGTCACCCTCCGCATCAATGATTATGACGTCAAACGAATTCTGATAGACCAAGGCAGCTCGTGTGAGATAATGTACTACGACACCTTCAAATAACTGAAATTGGAGGACAAAGACCTGGCACCGGCTGTATCCCCCCTGATCGGATTCAACTCAATGCCAGAATGGCCAGTCGGCAAAATTATCCTGCCAGTCAGGGCAGGAAGCGTGACAAAACAAGTGGAATTTTGGGTATTGAAAGTCCCTTCCACTTACAACATAATCTTGGGAAGAACATGGCTCCATGCCATGAAATCAATAGCGTCATCCTACCATCAAGTAATGCGGTTCCCCAACGGAACTGGAGTAATTGAAAAGGTCTTTGGAGACCAGATTATGTCCAAGCAATGCTTTGTCACGGCTAATGGCAGCCGAGCTGCCAAGGGATATGTTCATTCGGTGGAAGAACTTGAGAGTAATGAACTATTTGCAGATATCGGCAGAGCAGTTGATCAAAAAGCGGTGGAAGATTTGGTAGAGGTAAGAATAGATGAAAAGGACCCGGATAAATTCTTCTTGCTCGGTTCGTCGTTGTCCAGCACTGAGAGATTAGAGGTCTTGGAATTTTTGACCTCTAATATCGAAGTGTTTGCCTGGACACCCTACGACATGCCAGGCATTGATCCAAACTTCATCTGTCACCAACTCAATGTCCACCCATCCGCCAGGCCAATCATTCAGCGCACTCGTAGGTCAGCACTCCACCACGCTGAAATAGTGGAAGAAGAAGTGGGAACTTGCTGGAGGCAGGAGCAATCAGAGAGGTACATTACCCCAGATGGATTTCCAACACAGTCGTGGTACCAAAAAAGAATGGCAAATGGCGTGTCTACGTCGACTATAAAATAGTCAACAAAGCATGCCTAAAGGACAGCTTCCCCCTACCACGGATAGATCAACTGGTAGACCTAACGGCGGGGCACAACCGACTTAGCTTTCTGGATGCGTACAGAGGCTACCATCAGATTGCCATGTACGAACCAGACCAGGAGGTCACGTCCTTTACCACTCCAAGGGGACTGTATTGCTATAAGGTCCTTTGGCCTAAAGAACGCAGGGGCAACATTCCAGAGAATGGTCACCAAGATGTTTGAGCCATTGTTAGGTAGAACAATGGAGGCTTACATCGATGACATGGTGGTCAAGAGCATGGATGAGAATGACCATCTAAGGGACCTAGGTGAGATGTTCCAGATTCTGAAGAAGCACAAGTTGCGCCTTAATGTATCCAAATGCGCGTTCGGTGTAGGATCTGGCAAATTCTTGGGCTTCCTAGTGACCAACCGGGGTATTGAGGCAGACCCCTCCCAGATCAAAGCTATTCAGAATCTAGAGAGGCCTAACTCAGTAAAAGAAGTGCAGCATCTCACTAGCATGGCAACTGCACTCAACTGATTCATTAGCCGGTCGTCAGACAGACTACGACCATTTTTTCAAGCATTGAAAGCCAAGTTTGAGTGGGACGAAGAATGCACCGAGCTCTAGAAAGCTTAAAAGAATACATGTCTTTTCCATCATTACTAGTAACCCCAATACCTGGAGAAGAACTCTTCTTGTACTTGGCAGTTTCTCAGCACGCAATTAGCGCAGTATTGGTCCGTGCGGAAGGAATCCAACATCTGCCAATCTATTATGTCAGCAAGACATTGCTAGGAGCCGAAACAAGGTACTTACCACTGGAAAAACTGGCATTGGCCTTGATGATGGCCTCATGAAAGTTGTCACACTACTTTCACGCCCACACTATAGTCGTCCTCACAACTTTCCCATTAAAAGCTTTGTTTGAGAGGGCAAACTTTTCTGGATGAATCTTGAAATGGGCGGTAGAGTTGGGACAATTCGACATCAAGTTCCAATTCAGAACCGTAATAAAGGCCCAAGCTTTGGCAGACTTTGTCGCAAAATTCACCCCAGGAAGTCATCATATC